TATTTTCCGATCGTTGTGAATGTCCATCTATGGAGGAATCACTCAACTAAACTACGCATTATTGGTTGCATAGTTTTGTGAGGCTGAGTGATATCCGAGTCTGTAGTTTTTATCTCTGAGATGAAAGTTGGTTGAATAGCAAGATCGCATCTGGATGATTATGTGTATTGATTTTCATGTGTATAAAATCAGTGATATTTGCTGTGTGAGAAAATCATTACTGAATATGCCGAATATGACGGGTTATTTATATATTGTGATTTCTGAAGAGAGGTTATGGTCAAAGTTTTAAATTACGAAAAACGGAGAAGAATTACGGGAAATCATCACCGCGCCAGCGTTGTGTGTAGTTACTGTTAGCATGTATATGGCTTTTAATTCGACAGTGTACAGTGAATATAATTATTTCTTGTCTCTCTGATTTTTGAAATTCAGCAAATTTGTATATGTAACTTCCAGAATGGATAAGAAAAAGTGTATGGGCAACTAGTTTCTAGCTTTGAATCTCAATTAAGTATATTTGAGACAAGAATCCAATGTAATTATCATCAACACATACAACTTATAGCTTAGACATCCAGTAATGCCATCTCTGCAGCAGATTCTACATCACATCAGAGCCAAAGATTGATAACAAGTCTCATGACGTTTAGGCAACACGTACAACTATGTGCTAAGTTAACATCTTGTAGAATAACCTACATAATGTCAAAAAAAATCGGCAAAATGTACATTTTGAAAACTTTGACTGATAAAGTCAGCACAAATTCACTCGTATGTTGGAAAAAACGTATCCGACATTCATACATTGGAGAAGATCTCGTTTAAATCCTCTGATCTCCCGTCAAAGAAATCAGCAAATGGGATTTGACTTTAATTCCGAATACCGCTGGAAGGAAACAACATCAGGGAATGGAGGCCATTTTCCTAATGTCTGACAGAAACCTAACCTTGATGAAAAGAGCTATCAACAGATCGTGTAACAGCTTATCACGTCGCCCTATAGGCGACGTCCATACTCGACAGATGTGAGGTGCACATCATCTTAGCGAGAGTTATCTTAACGTTTTTAGGTCTAATTTGCTGAATTATTGACATAATTATAACTGAAAATGGAAATTTAGTCGATTTTTTATGATACTCCATTGGTCGCTTACAAGACATTCGACAATCTTTTTTTAATGTATCATAAATCGTAAATATCGTATCACCCCTAATGCAAAATGCAAAATTACGTGCGCCAGGTTAGTGGCAGAACAGCTGCAACCTTGTTTATTGTTAATATTAACCTAGTGTAAAACAATAACATCATTAGTCGCTAGATTATATAGTCGTGCAGAAGGTTTCCGAAAAGTCAAAACAAAATGAATATTCAGAATTTTATATATCCTAAATTGGGGCACTCACGCAGAAAGTGGAAGTGATCAACATCATCTGGCGAAATATCAATGAGAGGCTTTATAGGGGAGTTTCAATTAAACATTTTCCTTCCGGCAATTTCAATAGAAATTTTCCAATAAGAGAATTAATAAAAGGGGCACTTGTGACTTGAAGAGTATCGATAGGTACCTGCCAATTTTTACTGTCGACCTTGATCCATCAGGCATATTCGTTTACAAAAATATACTAATGGTACTCACAATTTTATCAACTAAAAAAAACTTAAAAAACAATCGAAATGACCGTTTTCTACAGTTCCGCGATAGAATGTTTTCTTTGTTCGGTGCTGGGTACTCCATCGTGCTTTTTACGAATGTTTACTGTGCTATCTAGTACATTTACCATGTCGTTGCTCTTGACAGCACGAAAGCGTTCGATCAGCTGTGGCACGCTGCCCTTTTAAGCAAACTTCCATCCTACGGCCTCCCAGAAAAGCTTTGCAGATGGGTGGCTGACTTTATCTCTGGCCGCAAGATATCAGTCGTAATTGATGGACTCTCCTCTTCATCCCACAACGTCAACGCGGGTGTTCCCCAGGGATCGGTCTTGGCTCCAACACTGTTTCTCTTACATATCAACGACCTGCTTTCCTGCACGATCAACCAAATCCACAGCTTCGCTGATGACAGCACTCTACATGCAGGAATTTAGAGTGACAAGCCGATCTCTGCCGCTGAGCTGGAAAAAAGAAGACTAGCGACGACTTCTTCTTTGACAAGAGACCTGGAGGCTATCACTGCTTGGGGACGCAATAATCTTGTACAGTTCAATGCTTCCAAAACACAATACTGTACTTTGACGAACAAAAAGCGTCCTAGTACTCATACAGCTTCGATGGACGGTCGAGTTCTACCAAAGAGCCATTCATTTCGGCTGGTCGGAGTCCAGATCACCGAGGACCTGATCTGGCACGAACACATCTCTTCAATAGCTGCAGCTGCTGGGAAAAAGCTAGGCTATTTGTTTAGGGCTAAGAAGTACTTTTCTCCGCATGATCTTCTCACTCTATACAAGGCCCAGATAGGGCCTAGCCTCGAGTATTGCTCACACATTTGGGGTGCTGCCGCCCCGACTACATTGTCCATGCTCGATGCTGTCCAGAGGAGGGCGGTCCGACTGATCGATGACTCTTCTCTAACAGACAGTCTCGGGACTCTTTCGCACCGGCGGGTCGTCGGCGATCTAGCTCTTTTCTATCGCTACACCAACGGGCTTTGCTCCTCAGAGCTCTCTTCCATGATGCCGCCGCGCGATGTGCCTGCCAGACAGACCCGCCTGACTTCGGCGTCTCATCCTAACCGTGTCAAACTTCGTACATCCAGAACTGGCCGATACGACCGCTCCTTTGTCCCGAGGGTGTCTAGATTGTGGAACAATCTACGGGAGGAAGCTTTTCCCAGTTCTACTAACCTTAGGCAGTTCAAAAATCGTATTAACAAAATTTCTTTGGGATCATCATAGCAGTCGCGGTGTTCCGGCATTTAGGCTTCTGCCTACGCGGCTGTTTCGATATAAAAAAAAAAAAAAAAATTTATTGCTTGTACAGACATATTAAAGTGTTCAAAAATGTTTTAAAATCAGCTTTACTGACATTTCCTTTGAAAAAAAGCAGAAATTAGGAACATCCTAAAAACATGATTGAAAAAGTGAATCGGATTTCATTCTTTCAGCATTGCAGACCAAGCGCAAAGGTACGAAGTAGCAAAGTGAAAATTTGGAAAATATTGATTGCTTACTGCAAGACATGTGGGTTTGAAGCGCATCTAGTAAACATCAAGTTTTTTCAAACACTATGTTTCAAAGATGTGATTCTTTTCAACTTAAATTAACTTAAACGGAACTAAAGCGTAATACATATATCAAAACAAAATAGGACAAAGTGCCATCTATTTCCAGAACCGACCGCTACGAGGAGTTGCCAAATAGCACAAAACAATTGTCCATGGTTCGAACGAAAGCTATATAGCTATTTGTTCATAATATATTTGACATTTGTCAGATCGTTTTACATATATAATTAAGAAACCTCTAAACGGGCAATATTTGTAATTTGGCTATATACCTCGGATATATCAGCTATATCTCGGCGATATTGAGCAGTGTGAATAAAAATTCAGTAAAAGCTAAAACTCTCATTTTCCTAGCAAATGCTTAGTTTGCAGTGAATAAAAATAAGTAGTAGCTTTTACTAAAAATGCAATTAGCCAAAGCTAAAGTTTTCAGCATTGTCTAAAAATGGTGTGAATAAAAGTAAGCAATTACTAAGAATACTAAGGAAAAGCACACATTTTTGCAAGCTTGTTAGACCCTGGCTTAAACATTTAGTATTGTTAAACAGTTTGGCAGAAATGGCTGCATTCATGAATATAACATCTGTAAAATTTTATCCCGAAAGAAAGGAAAGTCGTGCCGAAGAATACCACGGACTGTATAGATTTAGTGAAGAAAATGTTGAGTGGATAGCTAACCATTTTTTGGAGCCAAAAGTGGAGACTAGAGGTGGCGCATTGAGTCCAAAATAGGGATCGGAAAAGAAGGAGTTCATAGAACAACAATATGTAAATCTATATCTCACGTTTTACCAAAAATAGTGAAAAGGCGGGAATTTGGATTAAATTTCCTACAGAAAACTCGACTGACCAGGCAATCAACGAATGGGCACAGTTGTATAGATTTCCCTGTGCTTTCGGTGCAATTGATTGCACTCATGTACCAATAATAAAGCCATCGCTACATGGTGACGAGTATATCAATATGAAAGGCTGGTGTAGTATAAATGTGCAAGCAACTTGTGAGGGAAAAGAAATTTTTACATCCGAAGATGCTCAATGGCCTGGCTCGGTGCACGACAGTCGTATTTTAAGAAGATCAAATATTTTTGGTATGATGAGAAGACGTCAACAGAACTATGGACTTATTTTAGGCGATGAAGGGTACGGCATAACACCATGGCTATTAACAGCGTATAGAAACCCCACCACACCTTAAGAAATAGCGTATAATAATTTACATAAAAGAGAGCGCGTAATTATAGAACGCTGTTTCGGACAAAATTCCGTCAGTAATCGTCAACGCTGTGGTTCTGCATAATGTTGCTAAGTATTTAAATGACCAATTACCAAATGACGAAGAAGAAGTAGCCGCCGAGGATCACGATGGTGAAGAAGTTGTGGAAAATAATGATGAGCTGAATAACGACCGTCAGCGTGGTCAACAGAGACGAGAAAAAATAAAAAATATAATTTTTCAATTGCAGTTGTAAATATACTACTAAGTACAATACCATATAATATCAAAGGACAATATGAATATTAATACGTAATAAGTAAATTAAATAAGATACTTGAAGGAGGATTTTTTGGACAACAACTTTTTCAGGCAGTTATGCCTTCTAGAAAGTTTTCAATGGGCCACACTGTATAATGTTATATTTTATGATTTTTATTATTTTAATTACTTTTTAAGACAAATTTAAATGTAAGTAGGTACCTTAATCTGAGTTAAGTTCATTAATTTATTAAAAAACAAACGTTAACAACGAAAACAATTTATTCATTTTCTTACAACTTTCTGAACAACAAATTATTTATTTCTTCAAATTGGTCTCCATTTTCTTTTTGTAGTTTTTCCAACAATAATTTTTCCTTTTCCTTTCGAACCTTTATTAGTTCTAGCTGTTCCAACAATACCAGTCGTTGGAGCTCTGTATTGGACAAATCTGAGGTTTCGTCTGTTTCCTTCAATTTGGTTCTTTTGGTAACTGTAGACTTATGAGGTAAAGGCCGAACATGAGGTGGAGGTGGAATAAATTCTTCAGTTTTGGATGTTGATGGCTGAGGTTGTTCCACAGATCCTATTGCTCCTGAAATAATTTTTTGGATCAAATATCAGCAAAACAGTAATTTACACTATTCGACGAAAAAAAACCGCTCCAAGTTGAATCAATGCTTCCACATCACTATTTGAGTACCTAACCCTCCCTAAGTACTTAGAAAACGACATACATCATATTTTAAGTTTCGATGATGGATTTTTGATGTCAAAATGTCCGAAAACCTATTTGCGTAAAACAATTAGTAGAACTAGATTCATTTACCCCAAAAACCTTAAAAAACACATAAACTTTATATTATAAAATGTTACCCCCTCCCATCCCCATTTTTATTAAAAGGTTCAGTGGGGTGTAACAACAAAATATGCATAACCAAAAACCCCTATTTTTTTTTATTTTACCCCTCCTTATTACGTACCTGGTACTTTTTGAAAAACAGGGTTTTCTTGTCCTTCCATTAGCGCCAAAATATGTTTTGCCCACGCCTTTAAAACAATTTTCTTATTTCCCGTTGCAGTTTTGTCCGTCTTTTTCTTCAACTCGGTCTTCATATTTTGGATCTTCTTTTTTAGTTGTTTTTCAGTTAAATCCCTTCCAATTTGCAAAATATATTTTTGGTGGATTTCTTTGTATGCTTGTTCTTTTTCCTCTTTTATTTTAGGAACTTGCGATTTATTAAATATAATATTATAGCTTTCCAAAATTTCCATCAATTTCAGCTTGGACGAAACTTTTGCAGGAACTTCCTCCGTCTAAAAATCACTTGCAGAATTTTCTGAATCACTACTCATTTTGAACGTAATCCTTAGCACTCGGTAGTGATACTGGCTTCAAAAATTTTCATGTGCTCGATATTTGCCTTTGTCGATTTGCACATCGGCAGTTAAAATTTGCCCATACACATACAGTCTATCGACAGGTCTGAGCCTGCAGTTCCACAGAATTTCGCGGGGGACTGATTAGTCATAAAAATCTAAATATAGGCCTTATCAGTATACAAACATTTTTTTTGATGATTTACCAAATAAGAACTAAATATAGGCCTTATCAGTATACAAACATTTTTTTTAATGATTTACCAAATAAGAACTTTAAGTAAATACTTAAAATATCTAGCTTTTAGCTAGCAAAAGCTAAATCTACCTAGTAAAAGCTAAAGCTTATACTTCATACTAAAAGCAAAAGCTAAGTTTTTATTCACTTAGCCCATTGTCTGCAATGTGTGGGCACATACCTGGTCAAAATTTCTCATGAGAAGAATTACAAAATCAGGCAGGAATTTCTTACAATAAGTAGAATTCCTCGCAATCTCTACATGAAAATAGGTGGGAAAGTATAGTCAGACTGGACAAATATTTCCCGTTTAGAAGCACTATAGCACTATGTTTGTCACAATATTTAGCTACCACTATGACAAATATAGCGCAACCATCCTGAACATGTTGAAGCATATGGGCCTATTATGTATCTCGACTATATCTCGGCTATATATTGCCTACAATTCTGCAATGTATATACATATACACTTGCAGAATTTCTCATCAGAAGGGCTACAAAATTAACCAACAATGATACGGAACTGTACGCGTCATTAAGAAGGATCCCGATAGTTCAGCAATTTGACAACAATATATGACAATAGGTTGGGAATGTCAAGCATATGTAGCGATACAGATCATACTAAAAATTTTGCCGAATGTTGTACTCTATTGCACCTAGATACGTAGCACAGTAGAAATACCTATATAATGTTTAGAGGCCCAATAATCGAGTTCTTAGTAGTCGTACTACTTATAGCGATCAAAGTAACAAATATACGAAAGTAACGATATAAAAAGGCCACTAATTGCCTGTCGACTTTTTCCTTGTCGATTACACGTGCTGATACCATTCAACCTCAATTTACTAACAATGCTTTCGGTATCTATATATATATATTTCCGTCGGGTAGCAGGAAATCTGTTTCTGATGCTCCAAAGTCGACATCCTACGCTCCAGTGGATGTTTCGGAAAGAGTCGACAGTTATCAATGGCGATCGGAAACCCTGCATTGAAGGCTCGCGGTTCGATGGAAATATTGAACTGCGGATTGAAAGCCCACGAGCATATTTCCACGTCCAACATATCGCATTAGGAGCGTGGTCGTACATCTGGGTGCAGGTAAAACGATGCGGACAATATCAGCTTTATTTTTTATTCTGCTTTCACTCCAGTATCCCACGTATCAATAAATGTGTACATGGTAACGGAAGCGTAGCATCAAATTCCAAAATGAAATATTCTACAGTCTGGTAACAAAACACATTGTACACCACCAGCATTCTGCGTTACGGGTCACATACGATGTGTTATACTTACTCTCTTTCGTTATGGTACCCAAATATAACTGGACGCGGTTTGTGAGAAATAGGATAGTTTTCCCGATTTGCAAAAAAAGGTGCTTGTGCCGATCGTAGTTTCTCGGAGAATTGTCAAAGCCTCTCCACACTCATGTCTCATGCGACAATCTCGCGACAATGCGGGGAAAACTTGAGAGATGTGAATGTGGAACCGATTTTCATGATGTTCGCAGGCTTGTTCTCCGATTTTTGTCGGTTTTTGGGCGCGAGACAAAAAAGCTGAGAACGCGAGAACAGGCGAGAACTTGTATTGACTCGACACTCGCATGTTTCTCAGTGGCAGGTGACTCGGCGATTAGAACAGTTGTGCGTGGTATTTACTACTGAGCGTCAATACGAGGGATGTCTTTTAAGTTTTGCATATAGAAATATATTAGGCCGCGCGGATCGAACGTCAGTACTGAATCTTAACCTCACTCTCTAGTAAACTTAAATCCAAAGTTTCACAACAATACGTGCAGTGTTCTCACTACAGTGAATTTTTAAGTGTCACCAAGTCATTAGAAAAAGGAACTCAACCGAGAACATTTTCGCGCCATAATTTATTACAACTTTCAGAGACAATTATCGCAACAAGAATGCCTTGCTGAGTTACTCTCTGTTTTCGGCAACGAAGCGCCACATCAGTGGACAATTTCTCGTTGGTATGGAGAATTCAAACGTGGACGGGTGATTCTTAGCGACGATCCCAGGGTGGGTGCACCAAAAACGGCAGTCACCCAGGAAAACGTCGATGCTGTGCGCAAACTCATCATTGAAGATAGACATGTGACATATCGCGAGATTGAGGCGTCCTTGAAGATCTCAAAGACCTCAATTCAAAAAATTTTACATGAAGAATTAGGAGTAACAAAATTAGTTTCTCGTTGGATACCCCACCTGTTAACTGAAGATCAGAAAGCAGCCAGGGTCAATTGGTGTCAAAAAACGCTTGACCGTTTCAATTCCGGAAACTTAAAAAATGTGTATAGCATTGATAGTGGTGATGAATCGTGAATTTACTGTTATGAACCAGAAAATAAACGACAGTAAGCTGAATGGGTGTTCCAAAGTGAAGAAAAGACAACAAAAGTCATCCGTTTCGAAAAAGATGGTCGCAACATTTGTTTCAAAAGCGGGTCATATTGCAACAACTCCTCTTAATGAGCCAAGAACTGTTACTGCGGATTGGTATACCACCATTTTTTTGCCAAAAGTCATCACCGAACTTCGAAAAATCAACCCCGAAAGAAGAATCATCCTCCACCAAGACAATGCAAGCTCGCACACAGCCCAAAAAAACAAGGCAGTATTTAACGGAAGAAAACGTGGAATTATTAGACCATCCTCTATATAGTCTCGATCTAAGTCCTAACGATTTCTTTGCTTTCCCGAAAATTAAAAACAGACTGCGTGGTCAAAGGTTCCAGTCACCAGAAGAAGCAGTTGACGCATTCAAAAATGCCGTTTTGGATCTGCCAGCAAACGAGTGGAATAAGTGCTTCGAAAATTGGTTCGAGCGCATACAGATGTGTATCAATCTTCGTGAAGAATACTTCGAAAAACAAGAAAGTCGTTTAAAACTACCTACCGTGCTGTTTTATTTCCATATGCAAAACTTAAAAGACATCCCTCGTATGAGCTGGATTTGGACGAACGAACTAGAATTGCCATTCCTAGAATACTGTTCTGCTTGAAACGATTTTGTGGAATACAAATTTGAAAGAAAATTAAAAATAAACTAAAAACCCACGATGCGTGGAAACGAATTAGTATTTTGATGGAGTTACCTATTGACGAATTAATAATCAAAATGGAATCGTTATTAGCCAGCTACAGAGGGTATAAAAACAAAGTCAAGAAATCGGACGACATTTAATTCTGCGTCCATTATCATCCAGCACGAGAACTGTATTGAGAACCTTGCGAGTGTGGACCCAAAGAAGTTCTCGCCGAGATTTTCGCTAAGATTCTTGCCGAGATTCTTCCTTGAGTGTGGAGCGGCTTTTATTCTGAAAAAAGTATTTCATTTAAAAACTTTTTAGGACGGTGTTGGGAGGTTTAATATTGTTTTTCCCATGATACAACGTCATTTAAGGGCTGCCTTATGTGTATAAGTTGACACAGAAATGGATCTAACAGAAGTTATTCGAGAATTCGAAAAAATTCACCCAAGGGCACGGAAAAGTCGTGGTTGCTTACTTGAATTTGAAAACCGCTCTAAGGTGAAGATAGTTTTGGGCTATTTCAACTTTTTCGAAAAACAAACGACATGTACCTAGGGCTTGGGCCCAGATTTGTATCCCCTTATTTCTCAGAAACTAATCATAGGATTGCTTCGGTCTTATGAGACCTTTTGATCAGGAATGAGAAAAATATATCATATTGGATTTTTAGATAAATCGACTGGGACCCATTTCCCATGTGTTTTATGCGGGGTCCTCTCAAAGGATGATGGACAGGTACAGGAAAGTAATTGCACAAGTTGACTTCTCCCAGTGTTAATGCAAAGAACTCCATTGAAACCTCGAGGGGAATGACTTTCGACTATGTTTTTAATGTAGTATGTTTTAAATCTCAACACGTAGAAAATGGGCCCTACATTTTTCCAGCAGTACATCCCAAGTTGAGCTATCTACACCTATGACGCTATATTACAGGAACGGTAAACAATCTGTTTGATATTAATTCAGTTTATGATGAACATCCTTACTATGGCCAGTCAATCAACAGTGTAATTCTAAACTTGCGTGGACTCCTTCCATACAAGAATGGACCACCTTGTCCATATGCCAAATTTGCAATGTTAACTGGCCAGCAGAGATCAGCATAAGAACTTAAATTAATAGCAAACAGCTATTACAGATCGTGTACCGCAGACGCAATATGCTATAATATACTCAGTGACATTAGAAGTGTTACACCCAAAAAAAAATTATTTCTTAGTCTTACATCAAGAATGAAACGATAACTTTCTCACAAAATTTTATTGACAAGTAAGAAGAAAAATAATAATAATGAGTTGAGCGACCCCGCAGCTGAATATACTCCTGTATACGTTTGAACATCAACAAAATGAGATGATCGATATCTGGTTGTAGTAGGTCATTCCAGCCAACTTGAACTTCGTGGATTAGCTGTTGCAGAGTATGTGGTGGATGGTGCAAAGTGGATAGTCTCCTCCCCATCAGATCCCACAGATGTTCGATGTGATTTAAATCCGGTGAACGAAGTGCCCACAGCAACGCCTGCTTCTTGAAGAAAGTGGGTAGTACTTCGAGCAATATGGGAACGTGCGTTCTGTTGCTAAAAAAGATACGGCAGTAAAGTGG